CGTTTAAAAAATATCCAATCGATAAAGCTAGTAACAGCAATCAATATATGAGACCAAAAGCTACAATGCAAATCACATATGAGCATTTATCGTATTCGGAATTTCTAACACCGGCTGTCTTTTCTCTAATGGCATTATGTCCCACACTTTTTTTTATTATTATTATTATTATTATTATTATTATTATTATCATAGCTGTCTATCTGTCAGCTATTATGACATGGAATTCTTTCAGCCATATACATTATCTTGCTCGTATTTCTTCTTTTCGTTTTTTTTTTTTTTTTTTTTTTTTTTTCTCCGGCACCTTTCTGCTTTCTTTAGTAGGAAACTTGCAGGCAACATGAAAAGACTTTTAGCGATAGAACCGAAATGGGAAACAGTATGTGGAGTTGATTTGCTTCTAAAGTTATCCTAAGTAAACCTCCTTCATTTTTTGTGTGTGTGTGAGAGAATAGCGTTTGTTGACTCCCCGAACACTATACAAAAGGTGGCGCTGGAAACTTTTGCATCAAATTGATACTTTAACGAAAACAAAGATACGGGCACTGCAAGAAAATATGCAAATGTTTAATCCATCAAGTAGATTTTCTTTCTTTTTTGTTTAACATAATCTTGCTGCCGGCGTCTTTATCTTTTCCCTGACAATACCACTTCTATCCTCATGCAGTCGATTTGTCCCCAGTGTAAAATCTTCCCGCCAAACATCAAGCTTACCTATCAGTTCTAAAAATTCTTTGTTGGGTGCCTTGTCAGACGTTTCTACAAAAAAAAATGGTATATATCCCTTCGCATTTGCATTGCTCATTCTGATATCGCTTTGAGCATAAATATCGCATTCCCCGTTCCAGTGTCTTTAATCAACTCGCGTTGTTATTGTCCTATTTCCGGTCTAATGGTGCTGCGCGCCCAATTCGCCCTGAAGATAGAAAATTGATTTTTGCGATGATCAACCAAACTGGTTCGCTATACATAACTGCACGTCATGACGCCCTTGTTATTCTAAGATAGGGAGCTGAGTTTGAAACAAGGCCACAGCTATGGAGCAACCAATGAGGATAGAACACTAAAAATTATTTTCAAGTCACACATTTTACAAATATAATTAATACTGGACTGGATAATTAATACATTTTACAAATATAATTAATACTCTGGACTGAGGGATCAGTTTATTACACAATAAAAATAGAAAACTTATCACCCATTTTATGTCCACTCTAATCTTATATTAATAAGTTTAATCATACCATAAAATGGCGGCATATTTTTTAAGCTGATATTATTATTAGAAATTTTTCATATCAGTATTTAAATGTTATTTTCAATTTCACCATCATATATCTTTAGATAAGAGTACGGATAATTTTTGAATTGTTGACCTCGTATGAACATGTATGTGGCAATTCAAAACGGGGTTAGTTTTATACGCAATAACAAACATGATGATAGAACCGCTGAATAATTACGTCAGCAGTAAAGAGTTCAAAATAGTTAAAAGTACCGGGTGTAACAGCGAAATTGTCCAAATTATATATATATATATATATATATATATATATATATATATATATATATATATATATTATTCAGGATCATTTTAAAACTTATTCAAGATGATCCACGCTCTATCTAACCTTCTAATTTTATATCCTGGAGGAAAAAGTTGCTTCACAGGTTACACGTAAGATTTCATTTTCAAGTCTTTTTTTCACTGCTCTTTGGCCTGTCATAGGTGACAAACGTCTTAGTTAGATCTCTTACCAGCCATACATGTTTGAAAACGAAAGTATTACCAGCAATAAAAAAAATTTAAATTTTATAAAAATATAAAAAAATTAACCACTATACATTTTTGAAAAAAATATTACCAACAATACATTTTTGAAAAGAAAATATTACCAACAACAAAAATTTTGTCGGCATTAAATAACCCATTAAGGTTGATATGCCGTAAACCAAACCAATACAAATCCGAAGCGATACAAATGCGAAGTGGCATATTTTTGACACATAGTTTGGGAGTGAAGAGATGGATTCATACCTTTCCCAAGGGTATTAGTTCGTAAGTCAATATAATTCGAAGTCGAATTTCAGATTCCTCAGTCCGAGTCGCTACCAATTATTCTCCTTTTATGACTGTTCTGTCCTTTTCTCAAATGAATCGCTTTTTGTTTATTTGTCTTCTCGCTCTGTCCGACAAAACAATTTTGAAATTCTTATTTGAAAGCCATACAAGGATCGTACAAATCTTGAGAAATATTCTACTGTTGGTGAATGAAAATCACCTTCTATGAGCCAGAAATCTAAATTCAGTCCCTGTTTCTATTAGTTTTTATTTTTAAAATTTCAACCTAGGCAAGACAGTAAAGCCACTAAAGACGCAATGAATTATGGAGTGTGAAAGAATATGAGACAAAAGGAAAAACAAAGAACACATTAAGGAGAGAAAACAATAAAACAACAAGAATTAAGACATACGATAACGACTGATATTGCATTAAAATTTTTGAAGATCAAAGTTGACTGGAAAGCAAGAAGCTGGAAGAGAGCTCTACAAGCGAGAAGGGCGTGAGAAGGAACTGTTAGCATAGAACTTTCGGTTACATCTCTCCATTCCACGTGTAATATGATATGACCTTATCGTCAGTTTACTACTGTGCTGATGGATTAATTGGTAAGACTTGTATCACTAAACGATTATTATCTTCAAGGAAAAAAAAATTCTTACAATCTACAAATAAGTTCTGGCTTTAAATAACCTGTAAAGTGTTGATAATCCGTAACAAACAAATCAATCATTTCTCAGTAAAAAAAACAGCGTCTCTTATATATTCTGTTTTTTTTTTTTTCGTTTTTCCTAGGAATGGTCGATTATTTGTATGCGGTAATGACAGGGCGTAAAACACATGCAAATTCATTAACTAATAAGCATAATTGTAATACGATGATAGTGATTTTCTAAGCCCGGCTTAGATGCGGTGGCACAAGGACGAAAGTATGGGGCACCCAGTGAGGATCGTAATTGATCTAGCAATACAAGCTTTATAACCATTATACCACGCCGAGGTGCCCTAGTGATTTTCTAAGCGCGGCTTAGATGTCGCACAAGGCCGAAAGTATGGGGTACCAAGTGAGGATCGAACTCACTACTCAATCGTAACTGATCTAACAAGACAAGCTTTCTAACCATTACACCACGTCGAGGTGCCCTTTATTTTCCAATCGTAGCTCAGGTGTGGCACAAGACCTAAAGAATGGAGTACCCAGTGAGGATCGAACTCACTACTCAGTCGTAATTGTTCTAGCGACACAAGCTTGCTAACCATTACACCACTTCGAGATGCTCCAAATGATTTTCTAAGCGTAGCTTAGATGTGGCACAAGGCTGAATGTAAGGGGCACCCAGTGAGGATTGAACTCACTTGTAATGGTTTTAGCGAGACCAGCTTGATAACCATTACACCATGTCGAGGTGTCCAAATTGTAATAAGATGATGACATGATTCCGGGAGATCAGTTCATTATTTAATAACAATAGAAAACTGATCACCTATGTCCAGGTGTATACTATATTGATACATTATTAGTAATGCTATAATAATGATATATTTCGTAAGCCCCTTACTGTTCTTCTTCTCGAAAAAGACGAATAATAATCATGTTTCTTCAGGACGTAGGCAACTATAGCTTCCCATTCTGAGAGAAAAAGTGAGATGTTTAACCAAAATCGGAGTTGGTTAGATCCTCTAAGACTTTACCAAAAAGTGGTAAAGACTAACAGGTCGATAGAACGATCAGTCTATCCGCATTTCTTAAAAACAGGAACTACAGAAGTAGTAATCTACCAGGTCATCGCATAAGTTCTGTCTGAATTTTGAATAAAGAAAACAAGTGACCAAATGTTACATTTAATTACAGATTCAATCAACAATGTATTTTCCCTGATTATCTATGATTCCTTCCATCTCTTAACAAGCTTACTAATTCCATTACTGTGAAATTCTTTTGGCTTTGATTCGAAGAACTCACAAATGTCAGTTTTAACCTCTTCCTGTGTTACAAAAGCTGTTTCTTCCAAATGATTCTGTAAGCTACGAAACAAATGGTAGTCTGAAGGATCAAGATCAGGAGAATAAGGTGGATGAGGAATTTTCTCCCAACCAAGATCTTCGATCTTTTGTGACGTGATTCTTGCTGTGTGGGTTTGTGCATTGTCCTGATGAAACATCACCTCTTTTCGATTCACTAGAGCAGGTCTTTTTTCCTCAAAGCTTGGTTCAAACGCTCTAATTGCTGAGAGTATATTTGAGCATTAATTGTTGCATTAGGTTGTAAGAATTCAAAGTGGATTATTCCTTGGCAATCCCACCAGATTGAAAGAAGAACCTTTTGCCTATGAAGTTCCATTCTAGGCTGTGGCTGGGGTACTTCCCCTTTACCAAGCCACTGTCTACGACGCTTAACATTTCGATAAAAGATCCATTTTTCGTCGCCAGTCATAAGTCTATCCAAAAAAGGTGAAACAAGTTGGTGAGAAAGGAGAGAAGAGCAGATGTCAACTCGGGATTTGAGGTTGTTTTCAGACAATTCATAAGGTACCCATTTTCCAAGTTTAGGAACTTTTCCAACTTCTTGAAAATGACGATGAACAGTTGTATGGTTTGAACTGAGAACCACTGCCAATTCCTCAACTGATAAAGCAGAATTTTCTTCAAGGACTGCTTCAAGAAGCTTTTCATCAAACTCAACTGGACGTCCGGTTCGATCTTCATCTTCAAGGGTGAAATATCCACCTCTGAATTTTGCAAACCATCTTCTGCAAGTTCTTTCATTCACACATTCCTCTCCATAAACTGAGTGAATGTTTCTAGCCGCTTCGTCTGCTGAGTTTCCTTTCTTGAACTCATAAAGCATTATGTGCTTTAAATGATTCTTGGGTACTTCCATGTTAGCAGGGTTTTAATCAAACAAAATTTAATTTTATTGTTCTCTGAAAT